ACATAATCGTACAAGACGCATGTAGCTTTGGACGCATCCTATAATGATCCAGCCCTTTCCTGTACAGCAATGCAACGGAACAACAAAAACCAAAAAAAGGCATGGAAACCGGCCGGCTGCCAATTGCGCAGCTCTAAGCCCGCCTGTTTGACATGTCGGCCAAATCCACATACCGCGAGCAGAACGAATGTCCACTATGAAAAAGATCACGGGATTCGTCCAGGCTCAGAACACGACCAGCCCGCTCGCTTTTGCCAAGAAAGTTTGCAAGGTGATTCCTCAGCAGCACTCTACAGGCCCAATCCAGCGCCAGCGTGCTTCTTGAGATTCTATTAACTGCTACTGCACGTGAAACATATTCTGCAAAAGCAAGAATCGAGCATGACGCCATGAGCAGCAACCGGTCGTCAGCGTTGGCAAATTCATCATGCTTGGCAGCATCGCTCAAACACCGTGCAATCCACTCGGTAAGCACACGAGCGTTGTAGGCTTTCGAAGTCAACAACGTGCCACCTTTTTTTGCACACCTGAGTACGCCATTCCAGCACCTGCTAAGACCCTGGGAGTGACCCTGGGAGCTAGAATAATGCTTGCATGATACGCAAAGAACAATCTTTAGCTTGGCTACATGTTTGACAAGGAAAGAAGGGTGCGAGCACGCGATGCGCTCAGTTTTGCAAAAAGATCTGAACGAAGTATACGCTGCATCCAATTGTTCTTGCAGGGTTGCTCCATCGAAATATCCGACTCCGCAGAGGGTGATCCTTGGGTCGTAAGGCTTAAACGCTTGGTTTCTAGAATGCGCAAAAGTCCCGGTATGACATGTTTACACGCGCACATGTTACACAAATGAACAATGCAGCCAAAAATCAAGCCAACACCGTTAACATCGAAGCACAAGCCCAAGTTAATCGAGTGCATTGAACACGGTTGGAGGATTTGCGGATGAAAGCCTGGAAGCAGCACAAGCGGACCTTGGCACCCACTTTAGCATGGATGCTCACAGTAAATCAGTTCACGCACACACGCAACAGATGCACCAAGTAACATGGGTGTTCACAATGCCCAAGCTGGTCAGTCAAAAAGGATACCAGGTCGTAGTCCACCCAACTTTGATCTTCCAGAGCGTAGAACAAATCCTTTGGGTTGGCACTTCGAATCTTCGCGTTGCAAAGAAAGCAGCATGCATCTAGGCGATTCCAATTTGACCTGAAGTTCAGCTCCTGTTTAAGGAACTGCCAGTCTCCCTTCAACTCAGTGAGGCAGAATTTTCTGCCACCAACAAGGTCGGCACGCCCCTCAAAAAGCAGGTTGCAACTCCACGTGATGTGACGCAGTACTGCATGCATTGTATGGTATCCAAAGAACTTATGTTCTTCCAGTGCAAATACACACCAAAGTCCGCATCGAGAGGACTGTGGCTTCCAAACAGCTGGCATCGACATGAACAAACCCACCACTTTGGTTCCATCGTCCATGATTTTACATCCATCCCCGTACAGGGCAAATGGCACATGGTCAGAGGTTGCTGGGGACTCTGCAGCCCAATCCTCCTTCAATTCTTCACGATGCGTTTTCCAGTAGCTGCGCACGCGCTCAGCGGGGACGGTCACGCCCACGTTCATGAACAACTCGTGAAACAAACGGTGGGGCTCAATGAGTGGGACTTCCCTGATAGCATAGCCATTTGGCTCCTTGTCAGCACGGATTGGAAGCGATATCATAGTTGGAGCCTTGGCCAGATTCCCACTCCCACCCAATTTCAACGGGGGCATGCACTGGTCCCTGGTTCATGGCACTATGGGTATTATGGTATACGCTAGCTACACATGACACCTGGGTGCACCTCTGTCCAATTTCTGACTCAATCTGTGGGCTGGCAAGGCGCTAAGCTATGCAAGCCACACATGCGGCTCAAGTTACGAGCACTGTTCGTGCCAGATTCGTCATAGCTCCCCATACGTTTGCTCATAGGGTGGCATAATCCTCGACAGTCCTGCCACAGAGACTCGAGATATGATCCTAATAATCATGCGCATCATGTCAACTTTCATTAAACAAAAACCTGTCACAAACAGCTGTATACAGATCCACTCGCTCTTGCTACAAAATGGCATCCAGCCAGCCAGCCAGCTAAGATTCAACAACATCTATTGACCATCCTGCCATGACTTGCTTGCAGTGGCAACCTGCGGCAGGGTCCTGGACATGTGCCTTTGCCCGATCAAGCGCTCCTCGTGCACTGGTTGCCTGGTGAACACAACGGGGAGAGCGGGGAGGCATTGATCGGGAGGATACATGCATGCCCCAATTCTTGATCCAAGAAACCCCTGATTGAACATCATCGACCATCTTCTGAAAGAAAGGTCCTCCCTGGTCTTGGTGATCTTCATCAGACGAAGGATCTGCGAGGGTGGAACGTTCGGACTTCCATAAATTGCCAGCATTGTTGCTGGCGTATGGGGGGGCACATCAAATGAACTAGCTGGCAAATGCAGGCAGGTGTTCTCTCTTGTTTTTTCTCATCTTCTTAGTCTAGATTTGGTGCACTGCGAAACCCAGAACGCAATGCCATTGCCCCCAGCCACATGCGTGCCCAGCTACCTGAAAGGTTCGTGTTGAACCCCAGGGCCAGGGTCATATCAGTCTAGCTGCCACATGTACGTATACAAGTATATGCACCTGATTTCGGAAATCAAGTCACCAGCTATTTAGGGTGGATTCTTGCTGTTTGGTGAACTGTAGAAGTCTTGAAGTAGCAGAAGGTGGCAGCATGAAGCTGGAATGCATGTAAGCAACCCCCGCTTGTGCAATGGCAAGGCGTCAAAATGATCAGCTGCTCCACCAACTTCCAAACTCCCCAAACGCATTCATGAATACTAGATTTACTTTGCAAAGCACAGTAGATGATTTTATAACAAGTGGTCCAGGGAGCATCTAAGGAAGCTATGCAGCTATGTCACCGGCATTTGAGATGCTTCGATTGTATGGAACTATGGCTGCAAGATTGCAAAAACTTGGAAGTTATTGAACTTCCAGGCAAAAACGCTCGGTCAGGACATGCGGAGGGTGTCGACAAGTTTCCGGTAGTTCTCCAAAGCCTTCTCACCAGCCGACGTGGCCTTCTTGCACTTGCCCTCCTGGAAGTAGGGGAATCCATAGGGGCAGTGGGCGGGGTGTGCACCAAGGACATGTCATGTCGGCATGATAGACTAAGCCGAAGCCTAGCTAGACGATCTACGCGGTACAGTCCTCGTAAGTATCGACATCACAAGCCTTTTGGAGTTGATCTCGAGCATTCACCAAAGCTTGGCGCTGAGTTGTGAGGCTCTTGGTCACCGGACGCTGTAGATCATCAGGCCTCAAACATGCGGGCAGTGTGTTTTGAGCAAACAAGTTGTCGATGGACGAATCTTGAACAGGGCTGAGCCAAGGTACATTTTCTTGACTTTGATCAACTTATCGCGGATATCATTGATCTTGCTGCCCAGCTGACTGAGGACCTGCGCAGACATCGATCTCAATGTTGGTTGCAACTGGCGAGAAGAAGACTGCGGCGCACCTTCTTGCCATCAGCGACTTTGTCCTTCAATTCTTCCTTTTCTTTCTTCAGCCGTTCTCGCTCCTCTTCTTTCTCCTTCTTCTTGCGCTCCTTCTCCTCCTCCCTCTTGATTTGCTGTGCCTTTTGCGCCTCAGTCAACTTCTTCTTTTTTGACTTGCTGCCTTTCTTCTTGCGCTTGGAGTCCTTTTTCTTGTCCTTCTTGTCAGATCCTTTGCCCTTCTTCCTACGCTTCTTCTTCTTCTCTTCACTCTCTTCAGTTTCAGACTCACTCTCGTCAGAGTCAGAGTCGCTTGTCTCTGCCTCGACAGATTCCGAATTCGGTCACAATTGGATTCGATTACCATGCGATATCAGACACAAGTGACCAGCATGAGGCCCAGAAAGTTGAATAAAGTAAAATGAACATGTTCTAACAAGCTAGCTAGCAATGCCTGGCCTCAGATGTTGTGGACCGAGCCCGCTTTCGAGACCGGCTTGCACGACCCTCATCAGCATTCAAGTTCGAATTCTCAAGTACCGTGTTTTCCAAGCTGACTTCGCTTTCTTCATCCCAGCACAAATAGAGCCGAAGCTCCTGAGCATGAAACCAAAACGGACTGGGGAGCATACCGGAAATGACAGCGCTTGCAGGTATTGTGCGCGCAATGCATTTAGACAAATGACAACTAAATATAAATTGAACATCGCTGAGAATCATCTCGGTTGGGTAGTTCAGGGTGCCTTTTCCAATCCACACCCTCCACACCATTTTCTTCCTTATCGGTGATTATTTCTTGAGCCAGCTCAACTCCATTTCCCATGTCATTGTACTTCATTTCGATTTGCTTTCGGGTCATCCATCTCCTACATCCACGTTTTGTGTGCTGATGCGATTTTTTCATGCTGATTACCCAGCTGGATCGGCTCCATTTCTCACCACAAGCCAGCCATCGCTCATAAATCACTGACATACCTTGGCTGCGGGGCAGCAAGTCAAGGTCATGAAGAAGGGATTTGCATGGACTCAAAATCTGGGATTCGGGAACTGCGTCCAAACCGGCCATCCAAGGTGATAGTCATGCTCTTGGCCAAGCGGCTTTCTTTCTTGTCGGCGACAACGTTCTTGAGCTCGACTGGCGTTGACGGGCCTGGGCAGAGGAGACAGGGCTTGAGCTATATAATGACCTTACTCGTGTGTTACATAAAGAAAACAATCGCTCAGCCCTGGGCTTTCCAGGCTGCGATAGAATCTTGCTTTCCTTGCTTTGTACACTTTTCTTGCATTTTCCTTCCTTTCTATCTCTGAATTCTTCGCAGCAATGTCCTCTGTGTCTGCACGAAGAAGTGCAGCAACAGCCTCAGGAGTCTTCTTCTCTGCATCATCCGTCTTTTTCTTCTTTTCTCCTCCGTTTGTGCCCTCATTCTTTGTTCTCGGCGTTTTGGCCGTCGGAGGTGTCGCCTTCTTGTCGGCAGCTTTCCCCTTCGACTTCTGTTCTGTTTTGCTTTGCTGCTTCTTGGCGCTTGCAGCTCCTTTCTCTGCTTTCCTTGAACTGTCTTCCTTGGTAGCGGCAGTGCTCTTTTCTTTTGCCGTCTTCCTTGCTGACTCTTCCTTCGCATTGTTCTCACCCTTCGAATTCACTTTTTTCTTTGAATCCGTCTTTGTCTCACCACTTGGTTGCTTTTTGGCTGTGGCCTTCTTGTCATCATGGTTTCTCTTCACCTGTGCAAGCTTGGAGGCAGGTGACACCTTTGCCTTTGTCTCCACTGGACCTTTGCTGCTTGCTGAGTGTTTCCCGTAGTCTTTTGGTGGCACTTCCTCAACCTCCAACACTTTCTTGTCTCTCACTTGCCCTCCTTTCTTTGCCTCCTGTACTTTTGCGTTGTCATACTTGACAGTATTTTGTCTCTGAGGGTTGCTTTCCTTAGGCTTCTTGAGACCTTTCTCATCAGCAGGCTCATGCATCGCATTGGTGTAGTGGTAGGGTTCCTGCGGTCCCTTCTTCACAAATCGAGTCGCCACCTTCGAAACTTTGGTGCCTGATGTCTTTTCATCATCGGCAAAAGACAGCCTTCGCGCAGGAGTGATGACAGCCTGGTCTTTTGGAGATTGCGACTTTGTCTTCTTTGCTTTATCGCCGCTTCCTGGCGCAAGTTGGTGTGCCTTCGAGGATCTATAGCTTGGGAAGGGTGCTTCGTTCTGGGGTGTAATTAAATGATGGATCTCCCGTGAACGCCAGTCGCAACCTTGGCAGAAGGAATCCTAAGAATGGAATTGTTCAATCGATCGAATAGCCTGGACCCATGGGTCTCCAAATCACCAGGGATTGATCATCAGCGCTGCAAGCCGGTACAGAACAGAAGACTTGGAACTTGTATAATATATTGGGGATTTTAGCATCTCAAGGTGTGGCAGGGTGAACAAAGAACGACCAGCGCACAACTTACCCACGCTCCCTCCGCCCTCCGACTTTAGTATAGACTTTGGTTCATCATGAGTCACTTTGCTGCGAGGCGTCCTCCAGCGGCCAGATCAGATAGGTTTATAACAGGGTAATATATATATACTGATCATAAATATTGCAATTGCAGTAATTTGTAAAACTCCAATTAGTCAACTAGCGATTGAATTAATCGTGAATCGCCCGGTCCTTTGGGCATCACCACCAAGCTCATGAGGCTCCCCAGGAACGGTGATTTGGCTGTCGGTGGCCGGCGAACACAGACCCAGGGCCCTGGCGCGACGTTCCTTCGCCTTCCTCAAGATCTCTGCTGCCATGGTCGGCGGCGACGGTCGATCTAGAAAACAAGACAGTTTCAGCTCCTAATATAAATATATATAGCGCCATATATTAATATCTAGCTATATAGTGCATATATCTTGCAAATCCACGAACCCGAGCTTTCTAAAAGCAGCGACGATGGTCAGCGTGAGACAAATTCGTAGAATTCGGGGTGCTTCAAAGTGTCCAAAGTCTATGCCAAACAATGCACTTTCCATGCCAAACAATGTACTTTCCACGCCAAACAATGTACTTGTCCACGGTTTGTCCACGGTTGTCCACGCTTGCCTTTTTTTTGAAAAATTAATGATATTTTTTTTCAGAGCCCGAATACACCTTTAATATAAACCAGTGGACAAGCCTGAAATAAGGTCTTTTCAGCGTAGGGATCGCCTCGATTGGTCGAGTCGTTATTAATTAAATCGGAGCATCAACGATCGCTAGTCGATCGGTAGATCAGGGCCTGACTTTCAAGTTGACCATGGCCAGGGTATTGGGTGTATGATGGTGTATGAATATAAAATTTGTATATCGACAAACCAGGCCTCTATATGTGGCTCCGAATGAATTCCCATGGGTCACACCACGGGCGATCAAAGGGCTCCCAAGATCGGTACGTAGATTCCCTCCTCAATTTGGGAGTTGAGGAATCTACGCACCTCCTCCAGCTCGCAATGCTTCCAGTCCCACGGTGCCCTCAATACTCTGGGCGGGACCCAAGGACTTCAATACTTCGATACCGCATTATATTATGGATCCGGATAGTAAGCTACATATATAGCATGCTACAAAGGATTCTCAAAGCACCGCCTAGCTAGGACCCACCAATTGAAAGAGTTTTGAACAGCCGAGGCTACTTCGGCACTGGCCAGGATTTCTGGAGTTGGCTTGGTCTCAAAGGTTTCCTGGGCACAGGTTGAAACTCAGCTTGCATCTGGCCTACATGAGCGGACGCTGCCTGAAAACGGGGAAATTAATAAATGTGCTGCTAAAGTTCGAAGAAGTCCATGTGATGTTTTCGGATTGCCTTTGCAAAGCCTGCTGGGTATGCGCTTGAAGACTTCATGTATCGACCCCCCGCACCTGAGATGAAGGTCATGGTCATGGTTGAAGCACTTGCGACAAAAAACGGCATGAGACCGCTTTGCAAGCAACTGATGCCTAGGGACACTGTTTTTTTTGCCATTCTTGCCAACCGAAGTTTTGCACATTTGAACTTTGGCGGAAGTCCTCTTGATTCTGCGGCGTATAGATTTGGTAAGTTTGCGCCTCATCTTCGCAGCAAATGGCCTCGGTAGAGGGAAGCAAACCCGACAGGAGATATATCATGTGTGACATCGGCCCCCTTACACGCATATACAGTAAGTATTTAAGGCTGCAACGCTGTCCCAAAGATACGGCTCGGCTTCAGGGTTTTTTGCACCAAAAGCTCCCATTGAACTTAGCTAGTAGCAGATTCTTATCCGCCGGCCAAACGAACAAGGCAGCAACATAATAGATAAACATCCAATCACATGCTATGGCTTTCAAGCAAAATCTCTTCTCATGATTGCAACGCGTGCAAGGCACAATGAAGTTTCAAACCAACCCAGGCCATATTTCTTGAGGACCCTCACCACGAATTTGAAGTAGGGGAAGTACTGCATGACACTGCTGGATGGTTGCTCTGTCAGGTTCAGCACTTGGCGGACAGCGCAAAGTAGGATCAGCAAGCACCAGCGTGCAGTGAGCCTCGCGCACACACATGCAAAGCTGGAACATGGAAGTTGGTCTCATAAAAAACAGCCGCAAGTTTTAATTGATCATCCTCCAAGTGATCCAAGGAACTTGTTTGCGGACATTATGTACTCTCTCTTGGTATCTCCAAGTGCAAATCGCTTTGTCCTCTTAGACGTCGAAGAGTTTACCCAAACAAATGAGCTGCAAGGTGGACCGCCCAAGCACAAAGAGCCAGGGCGGCACTCCAGAACAAACAGCACCGCCTGGCATAGGCCGATCCTGCAGAAAACATCATATTATAAGCATATTGCGTGCCAGGCGTGCGCACTGGTTCCATTGAACTGAGAATGGGGCACTGAGTTCAAGTCGTGTTTCTGAGGTTTCCTGTTAATCTCGAAGAATCGCCTGAAGCAGAAATAAAACATATAACCCATCCCCACAAACATGAACAGTGAAGATCTGATGATATGGTTGGAAGGTTCCACGTCGTTGTCTTGATGCAATTGGCTATCCAAGGATGGGACGACTTCATGCCATGGTCTCCTGGATCGTGGCTAAGGCCGGGATTTCTGGTTCTAGGGGAGTGCAGGGCAGGGCAGCTGCAATCATATTGCAGGAACCGGGGACCTGGCCATATTCAGAATAGAGCTGGCAAACGCCCCCAAAAAAGTCCACCATCATTGTGTCCTAGGCCGAAATCACATCGGGTCCACCCAAAGCATAAACAGCATGTTGCGCTTAGAAAGGGACGCGTTTGGCTTCACTTGCAGAAATTTGCACGACGTAGTCCACCAAGTGGAGCCTGAGAATATGATGTTATTATATATATATATATATAGGGAAACTCCTCGCCATTAATAGTTAGATGTATATCGGTGCAGGCCAGAAACATGATCAATGGGAACCCCATGGCTCTCAACAAAAGGGCTTGCTTCCGGGTAAGGGCCAGGGGTGATGATTGCCAATCACCCTTGCACGGCATCAATTCCCGGGTCTAAGCACAGCTGAGCTATGCTAAGTAGCGCCAATTGTAAGAGCGAGCCGACACTTGACACAATACAGAGTTCTCCGGGCATGCTTGAAGTGCCAAGATGGTGATGTATTGGGCAAGGTTGTTATCTAGTAATCTGCTTGCAGATGCATATACATTCGATTTGCAATCCATGTTTTCCCTCATGAACGCACCGTGGGCCTAATCATGAAGGCCGTCCAAGACTCCAAAAAAATCCACAACCACCGGCCATTGATGCGGCAGTTTATGAGTGCTCTAAAAGTGAGACACATGATGGCACTAATCAACATCTTCAGGTTTCGGGCGATCAGATGCGACGGTCTCAGGTTTGGCCCATCGCGCAACCATCACTGCGAGCTTCCACCTTGGCAGGCACTTTGGGAATGGGAATCTCGCATGCAGGAAGGATGAAATGATATCGAAATCCTCACATCCATAAAACATCAACTCCAATGTGGCGGAGCTAAAGACTTATCAGATGATATGCCAAAAGCATCGACACCTGATCACAACTAGAACGACTCAAGTTAACATGATTCCAGTCATCGCTTCCTGTGTGTTGGCAACGTGCCAGATATGTGGGATATCATGTTGTACAATGAAGCAAGTTATATCATGATTATCTAGGGCTTCGACGAGTACAGTGGGCCGGAATGCGTGTTCCAGTAAATGGAACAACCGTTCTTGTTGTTGATCTGCGCAGCAGTCAGGAGTCGGTGGTGCCGCCTTTAAATATTGTGACTCTGCCCTACAACCTGATCTAATGGCACGCGAAAGAGCTCCTACTGTGCATCGGCAAAATGAGTACAACCAAAGGATCGATCCAGAAGGGAAGTGTTCGGCCAGCCTGGAGGTGTTCGTTCTCAAGCTCCATAACCTTCTTCACTGTTTTCTCGTCCGTTTGGTAGACATAGTAGCCACCCACAGTCAACCTGGGTCGGACAGTTTTTGTGGCAAGTCGGCTGTTGGCTGTTGCCCAAAAAGGCAAACCTGAGAGCCCAACAAAACTCCGATGGATGAAGGCTCTTTGCATTCAGCGTAGGAAGGTGGTTTGACAGTGAAAGACCTGGGTCATAAAAATTGTTGGGGGATGTTGGGGGGGATTCGACTTGGCTCGACTGCCATCCAAGGTCGTGGATTTAAGTTGATGGCTTTTTGATCAATGGAAGTGGAGGACGCTTGGCCTTCAAAGTGGGACACTTCTCCGCCACTTTGTCCAGACGCTTCCAGTTGGATACCTGGAGCTGTTCATGAGTGATTGCCCCCCCTGAGCGTCATGCGTCCACATGTAGTCGGCTAGTGTGTTAACAATCTTATTTCACCGTAGAGGGTTGGAGGTTCAGGCCAATGAACATGTGATATACTGCAGATCGTGTCGCTTGCCCATTGCAGACCCACCCCAAGTCCCAAACCATATTTCATATTCCCACGCATGCGTATACAACTTGTATTCTGAGTTGACGCCTCATGCCAACATGCGCGCGAGCCTCAACAGAGTTGTCGTCCAAAGGCTGTTCTGCTTTGGGTTTCTTCTTAGAAGGTGGCGGTTCCTGCTCTTCTGCCTTGCGCTTACACTTCAACTCCTCCGGAGTTTCTTCCGCCGCAACCTCAGCCTTTGCCTTTCGCTGGAT